GTGTAGAAGAGTGCGATGCTCGTCAAGTGAGAAACAAAAAGCGACTGACTGGTTATTTGTACAGGATGAAAATGATTGTTACTATACCTTTTAAATTAGACGATGAAGAGAAACCATCACACTTCTACATGCATGGAGCAATACTTAAACAAACAACAGTTGAAAAAACATAATTTCGAGTCACCTCTATGCAACATAATACAAAGAGCGAATCAAAAATCACTTTCTCTCTTTCTTACCTATACATGATCTGGTTTTTTCCCACCTGAAGCATTTGTGCGCTTTCTGCAGTCAAGACACTACATCGCATACGTGGTGTGCATTTGTGGCACATATAAATGGAAAGTGGCAATTTCGTTTTCTCTTCATTTTGAAAGAACACTGAGCATGAGTTCACCTTAGCTTCTTTTATTGTTTTCTGAGTAGGCCTTTTCTTGTTAATGATTTGTGAAACTCTGCCCATACCACATGCAGTATTTCATCAATAGCTGATATATATATACGTATATCATTGATTACGTTTTCGGGAATGCGCGTTGTAAACTTTTGCGAAATGGTTTACCTTGATGTCTTAACATGAACGAGAGCATTTGCGCCGCTGTTGTTATATCTAGGGATGCAACAAATCTTGCATGGTTTTGGGATTTGTCACCAAACCTTTGGGATTTGGACTTGGATTTGGATTTGGTTTCTGAATTTGGGGTATAGTTCGAATTGAGTTGGTAGAGGTAGATGGCGTCTAGATTTGGATCACAGGATTGCTGATATTGCTTTGCTCAGCTTAGATTTGGGATTCGGGATTGATGATAGGTTTGGGATTTGAGATTTGGGCTTGGACTTGGATTTGGGTTTGGGTCTTAGATTTGGATTTGGACTTGGGATTTGTTTTCAATCTAACATGAGTCCAACTTTGTAGCCGTGCTACAATGCAACCAAATCTCAATCCCAAATCCAAATCCAAAACCCAAATCTGACCCAAACCCAAATCTTACCCAAACCCAAATCCCAAACCCAAATCTGTACCAAATCTAAACAATTTCATATCAATTTATAAGTCTTGCAATTCTTTTCTCCTTTCTGAGACTTTATCTTACCAAGTCTCATCGGATTTGGGTAATTTAAGACCAACCCCAAAACCAAATCCAAATCTAAATCTAAGTCGAGAACAAATCCAAATCGATTTGCACCAAATCCCAAGGCCTTGGATTTGTTGCATCCCTAGTTATATCAGCGAATCAAGCGCAACTGCCGATCTTGAAGCGATGCCTGACAAGTTTTATGCGGAGTTGTTTCTTGATTACAAAATACTTAGTTGGAAGCATTTCTTCAGTTTGCTAAGTATTATCATGATTAGTCACTCAATAGCTGTATGTTATTAATTTTAAGATAGCTTTGTCGTCATTCTCACTCAATGTTCGTCATTTCCTGTATTGATATCCATTTCAAATTAAAAGAAGGGTGAGTATTTGTGGAATAATTCTTGATAGGAACAAGATACAGATCTGCGGTTTTCACCGTTTAAAAAATAAAATGAAACTATATTGGTTCTTGAATACCGGATTTTTCTGAAAAGTTTTCTCAAGGTCAGCCAGCAGATTTTTTAAAAATGCAGGCGTTTTAATAGGTTCGAAAAGTGGATGTTTCGTTAAAAAACCAGAAAAAAGTCAATTTTTCATCAAAAATTTGCCGAAAACACACAGTAAAATGTTAATAATTCGTGACTGGCTAAATATTCTAACACCAAACTTGTATAGATTATTAAACTTTAGTTAGCGATTCTGATGCACTACTGAAAATTAAAATTCGAAAAATTTTATAATACACTATGTTTTCTGTTTTAAAGACTTGGTAGGAGAGTCTGGGTGAACTTGTCAGAAAAATCTCGTATTAAAAGTTCGATGAAGTTTCATATCCTCTTTTAAACGGTGAAAACCGCAGATCTCTATCTAGTTCCTATCAAAAACTATTCCAAAAATATTCACCCTTCTTTTAATTTGAAATGGATATTAGTATTTTCACGAAATATTTTCGAAGAAATTATTATTATTACTATTCTATTTCAGATATTTTACTTATATCGGAAGTGAAATCTTCGATATTCATTGGAAACTCTTACTATTCAACTAATATCTTCACAGCAGGCACTCACAGTAGAACGATCTGGAAAATTCTATATTCAAGTGAGTCCTTATTTGCTACTATTATCTTTTGTAATTATAGTGAAAGAAAGCAATCTAAAGTCGCTCACACAGTGCACTTGCTTTGCTTTCCTACAATTATGTAGAGGCACAGATAGATGTTTATACAAATGTTAGTAAACCTTATCCAACGACTTGTACAGGAACCGTGATCTGTGAATATCTTCAGAGTTCCATCGGATATGGGGTGTAGCTGACGTTAAAGAGATTAATGACAAA